CGCTAAAGTGGCGTTTGGCTAAAGGCACTGGTCGGACGGGGCGGACGGACCCATGCTCGCCGTCCGATAAAGCATGGATAACTTAATGTTTCTACAACACCTATGGTAGTGTACGTATGTGAAACAATATTTAATGTAAAACCAAACATCAATATACCATATACTTGGAAATAAATGACATTCTGTTCTATTCAACCTAGGGTGTAAAACGCGCCGTGAACATCATCATCATACCCTGTCATCATACCCTGTCATCATCCCCAATGGGGATGATGACAGGGTATGAAAATTAAAAATATAATTAGTCCGTAAGTTAGGTAATGAAAAAATATTAGACACGTATTTTTTTATTTTGTCGTATAATAAAACAATACTTAGATAAAACGAATCAAAGTTTAGGAGTGGGGGCTAAAACGTCATTCCTTAGTATAAAATGTACTGAGAAGTGACGTCACGCGACATTTCAAATCAATATATCTTCGAAACTATTCGTTTCTGTGAGAAAATAAAAAATACGTGTCTAATGTTTTTAAATAATCTATCAGACGGACATTAAAATAAAAATTAGTCGTCTACCCTAATATACCTATATCATATTCTGTCACTTTTGAAACGTCAAAAATCGAATTGTCCGTCCGTTTGTTTGTCAGTGAAGCTAGGCGCTCGTTTCAAAAATGTAATTTGGAATGGAGAAGAACGAGCAAGAAACTCCATGTCTTTTGTCTCATTGCCTCATTGACACATTATCTACATTATCAGTGATCCTTTACCTAATTATAGTCTCCTTGATACATTTTCTATGTGCTTACTCTTGAAACCAATCTCAATGTCAAAGCAATTTCAATCCAATAAAATCTCAATGTCAACACTATACAACCACAATCGTAGCTGTTACAATAGCATTCAGAGTACGGAATATAAAGACAAACTCAATACCATTTAGTTCATTTAATATCCACGCAATACGGATGCAATGGGCGCTAGTGTTGCACTCGAGCGTACGAAATTTCATAATGTCAATGTCGATCGATCGGAATTGGATTCAAGAGTAAACCCCCTGATCCTTTACCTTCTTCTTTACGACAATACAACGTCACAATTTAACTCGTCGAGTACCGGTTTTATAGACACAATTAAAGAACAATAGGTTGCGGTCACCGGTGACCGCTTGGTGTTTGACAGTTTAATGGGACTATGGATTATACGGTTTAAAAAATTAGATTTTTAAACTTACCATATTTTCCGGTTGTAATAGTTAGTTTATAAATACAATAAATTTACGTTCGTTAGTAGAACGAGAAATTTAAAAACATTTCTGTTAAACATTTTGGCAGAGGATTTTTCTTACTTAAATTTTTTTATGAATTTACTTTTAATTTTTCGTTAATTTTCTATGAATTTTTCTGACAAAATTGACGTTTAGTTTTTTCTTATAATTTGTATACACAATTTGTGTAAGACAGTGAAAATAAACAAAGAGGTTTATTTATGTAGGTACCTGGGTTAGGGAACTGCATGGTTGGCGCGGGTATTGGCAATTTTCTTTAATCAAAAATAAATTATTTCGACTGTAGTTAAGCAATCAATAGATATGTGATCGACACGTGTAGCCAAAAGTTTTTTGCAATAAGTTGGAATTAGACTAAAAATCACCCCGTTCCTACTCCCGCACTTCGAGCCGGAGCCCCGGCATTCATTTAGTCAGTAAGAGTCTGACACTCCCTCTCGCATCACCCGGGCGGAAGAAATCATTCGATGATTTTCCCCCCTCAAAAAAAAAGGTGCCACAGTGATCCATAGTTTCCAATTTACCACAGCATACCAATCCATAACCCTAATTTTTTTTCATTATCTACATAATTCTACACTAACCGGGGACTGTCCTTGGGTGCATTTCAATAGTGCATACAGGGATAGTCGCCGGTTTGTGTGTCCATTACATTTATATTAAAGTTGTCTAAAGGGCCTCTCCGCAGTTGGCTTCGGCCCCTCGCATGCCTCCCAAATGACCGGGACCCTGCGGTGCCGTGAATGGTAAGGAAATTTAGTATGTCTCACGAAAGTTCTATACCTTATACTCTTATACTTATTATACATATAAAGCGGAAGAGTTTATTTTTTGGTTTGTTTGTTTGAACGCGCTAATCTCCGTAACTACAAGTCTGATTTGAATTTTTTTTTTAAAAAACATTGCCCCACACTAGGATTTTCTCCTGTGTCGTGGGTGCGTTTACAAACATACAAATTCACATACACATGACACCCAGACCCGGAACAACAATCTATGCATCACACAAAGTGTTGTTCCGTGCGGGAATCGAACCCGCGACACGTTGCACGGCAGCCGGTTGCCCAGCCACCGCACCAACCGTGCAGTCTTTCAATTAGTTTTGTGTTGGATAGCGCATTTATCGGGGATGGATATAGGCTATAAAACATCACGCTACGACCAATAGGAGCTAAGCAGAGCGTGTGAAACCGCGCGGAAGTAGCTAGTAAAATATAAACTTATAATAAAACTATAAAAAATCTAGATTTCCGGAAGTTTTTTGTCTTTAAAAAATCTAATTTTCCACAATGACATCACATTCTGCTTGCACCCAAACACTCGACATGTGAGTCGTAAATATGATTCAAGGCTAACGAAACTAATTTTCCATACACGATGCGTGTTTTGATAACCAAGTTATAATAAGGGGGAGTTTCACTGTTGCGACTAACTGCTAATTTCAATAAACTATCTTAATCAAAAACCTGTCGATAAAGATCGATTATTGACAGTAGTTGTACGGAGTTTCTGTCAAAAATCGATCTTAATCTTAATATGTATTTTGGATTACGATACGTTATAGAAATTGGCAGTAAGGATATAGACAGACGGACTGCATTACAGCTGCAACTAATCGGAAATTGAGGTTCAGACGCAGTTTGAATGCAATCGTGTCACGACTGCAATAGGGTAGATGCCTAATTTGTATTTCAATGTCCGTCTGGTAGATTATTTTAAATCATTAGACACGTATTTTTTATTTTCTTACAGAAACGAATACTTTCGACGATATTATGATTTGAAATGTCGCGTGACGTCACTTCTATGTACATTTTATACTTAGAAATGACGTTTTAGCCCCCTCTCCTAAACTTTGATTCGTTTTATCTAAGTATTGTTTTGTTATAAAACAAAATAAATAAATACGTGTCTAATATTTTTTCATTACCTAACTAACGGACTAATTAGATTTTTAATTTTCATATCCTCTCATCATCCGTATTACTATGATTCTTACATAGGTACCTCTTATGTTTCCTCAACAGTCTTCAGTTTTATAATATAAGTCAGTTTAAAATAATTGTTAAAATTCATTCATTCCATTGAACTGCTATCCTTTAGTTTAGTCACTTCAGAGCGTACGGCGCCGATCGTTCCGCGCGCGCCTCAGAACAATCAGACCACCATGGATGGAGCCCAATAGGGCTGATACCGATTTGGAGCCTTGGAAAACGTAAGGTTATCAGAGCTCCGGCTCGAAGTGTAGGAATAGGAACGGGGGTTTTCTAGGGCGTAGGCTACCGTATGCCCCGTGCCTACGTACGGTAAGCACGGGTGACCTGAACCAGACCTGGGCGTATGGCGCGTCGTGTTCCGCGCGCGCCTCATAGAAAAATCAGACTACCAAACATGGAGTCCAATACAGCTGATGCCGATACGGAGCCGCGAAGGATTTATAAACGTGTTGCAGAAGTAGGAACGGGGTGGTTTTGGCCAGTAAGAGTCTGACACTCCCTCCCACATCACCCTGGCGGGAGAAAACATTCGATGATTTTCTCCCCCCTTTTAAAAAACAAAAATCTAAGCCACTAGAGGACATTGACATTAATCTATTTGTAATCTAATTAAGTAATAGTCTCACTGGCTGATCGCCAAGACAATGCGAACAGTACCTTGTATAATTTACCTAGATTCATAGTCAAGTGATAATGACACTAGTTATAAGAAATTAGTTAATGTTTTTATTTCATTATACCTAGAGATGAAATCTGTGTTTATGATACAACGTGGTAATTGCAGTAAACTTGTTTAGGAGCGCGACCTTGTCATAATAATTATACTTTACGTGTCTTTATTTTACCTGCCTGACTGACTGCCTCGTTGGCCGAGTGGTCGCAAGTGCGACTGCCGGGAAAGAGGTCTCGGGTTCGATTGCCGGGTCGGGCAAAGTATTACTGGGTTTTAAAAAAAAAATCTCAGTAGTAGGCCGGAGTCCGGAATTGTACCCGGTATATGGCAATAGGCTCAGCCCCTATTACATGGGACTCATAACATAAATAGTGAAAAGTGAGTGTTACATTGTACAGTGGCATAATGTGCACCTCCGCCTACCCCTTCGGGGATAAAAGGCGTGATGTTATGTTATGTTGTCTTTATTTTAATTTAATATTTTACTAGCTTCTGCCCGCGACAAGTGTGCTACTGGCCTTTTGGGGTTTAGGGGTTTGAGGATTGTTGGGGATTCAGGGATTGGGCCTCCGGTAACCTCACTCACACAACGAAACACAACGTGTGCGTTGCTTCACGTCGATTTTCTGCTCGGCCGTGTTTATAGTTTACCTTTAATATACACAGTGACATCACTGAGTTTTGTATAATATTTGATCAACAAGACATTTCAAAAAGCCAACAAACATTAATGTTTAATTTAGGAAATATTCTACATCACTCGCTCCTCTCTGTCTGGAACAAAATCGCAACAACGAAACCTCACCACACATCGACGACAACATCTTAATTAATTAAAAACATGTAATTATCTACACAAACAAACAAACAAACAAACGACAACAAGATTAGAACTAATTAATCGCAAACAATTTTATACAAGTCGCGTAGTCGCAGTAATGAAACCACACCTTTATGTGTTGTTTAGTTTTATAAAAATCATTTGCAGTATAGTTTGGTTCAGTTTCGCCCTGTGCTTCGTGAAGTGCGCACGTGTATCAAGATGGCCGCCAATGTACCGATTATTTTGAACAACGGACGTACTTGTCCAGTGTTGGGACTGGGGACTTGGAAAGTAAGTTAATATTTGTGTAATATTATCGGAAATATTCATAATGTAAGCATCAATGTAACTTTTTCCCAGTTTACTGTCGACTGCACGGTTGGTGCAGTGGCTGGGCAACCGGCTGCCGTGCAACGTGTCGCGGGTTCGATTCCCACACGGAACAACACTTTGTATGATTCACAAATTGTTGTTTCGGGTCTGGGTGTCATGTGTATGTGAACTTGTATGTTTGTAAACGCACACACGACACAGGAGATAATCCTAGCGTGGGGCAACGTTTTTAAAAAAGAAAAAAAAAATATGTAGGTACTTTCTAAGATTATCTAGACACCACTGACAAACGGTGAAGGAAAACATCGCGAGGAAACCTGGGCTTATAATTTCTAATTATAAGTTTGAAATCGCCAACCCGCATTGAGCAAGCGTAGTGATTTATACTCAAACCTTCTCCGTGTGAGAAGAGGCCTTTGGTCAGCATTGTAGGCTGTTGATAATGAATCGGTACTGGCCTTTATCCAATTATGTTAAAAGTTTCATCTCTTAATGTTTGTCAATTGTTTTATATCGACCATAAATTCGGACTACCTTCTACTATGAAATAAATGTTTACGAGACTATAAACGAAATCAAGACTAAAACAAAATGAAATCTGAGTATATACAAACTGCTGCCACTGTCTTCGCCCGCGTTCTCATGTTATAAATAGTAGCCTATGTGTTATTCCAGACCAAATTTCATCCCGATCGCTTCAGTCGTTTTTTTTATACTGTCAAACACCGCGAGGTCACCGGTGACCGGAACCTATTGTTCTTTAATTGTGTCTATAATGACGGTACGCAAAGGGTTAAGGGGGAAAATCATCGAATGACTGCTCCCGCCTGGGTGAGGCGGAAGGGAGTGTCAGACTCTTCTTCTTCTTCTTATAGTGCCTCTTCAATGTTGAAGGTCGGCCGTCAGCTTCTTGTATTTCTCCTTGTCGGTAGCCATGCGTCAGACTCTTACTGACTAAAAACCACCCCGTTCCTTCTCCTGCACTTCGAGCCGGAGCCCCAGTTACCCGTTAGGTTCTCCGCGACCGCTTCAGCCGATTTGAAGTGACAAAATAAAATAAAACCTGCGTTTAAAAACCGACTTCAAATAACCAAAAAGTAAAAACTAACAAGGAAAAAAATAACTATTAATAGTACTGACAGGTTACCCACTGATAGGTTAGAAATCGGCGCCATAAGTTCTATACAAAATTATTCATCAAAACCTTAATAGATACCTAATTTACAATTTTGTGGCTATTAAGCTATATCATTATGATATGAGCTCTGGCTCTGAGACATGAGACTGCCTGATTGGTCGAGTGGTCGCAAGTGCGACAGTACGGCAAAGGGTCTCGGGTTCGATTCCCGGGTCGGGCAAAGTATTACTGGGTTTTCAGAAATTCTCAGTAGTAGCATGGAGTCTGGAATTGTGCCCGGTATATGGCAATAGGCTCACCCCCTATTACATGGGACTCGTGACATAAATAGTGAAAAGTGAGTGTTACATTGTACAGTGGCATAATAAATGCTTTGACTTTGCGCGTATGAAGTAGCGGACAGAATCTAGTGGATAAATAATAACATAACATCGCGCCTGTTATCCCCGAAGGGGTAATCAGAGGTGCACGTTATAGCACTTAACGCCACTGTACAATGTAACACCCACTTTTTACTATTTATGTCAAGAGTCCCATGTAATAGGGGGTGAGCCCAGTAATACTTAGCACGACCCGGGAATCGAACCAATAATACCTACTTAAGTACCTACAAATGACGACCTAAAAATTATCTAGATTTGTTTACCATAAGTATCTATTTATCATAAGTAAAGAGATATGACTGTAGTTTAAGATTCATATCTGCGTCCATATTTACTTCCTGTTGACAAAATTGTACATGTGGGCTCGCCATGCCTCGGCGTTGCTGTGCCGGCTCGATAGGAGGGATACCATGGCCTTACAGTACACCGTACAATGTCGTGGTGACCCGGAGCCCGGAGGTTTACGACGCTGGCTTCTCATGCATGAGAATACGGGTTCGAAACCTACCAACGGCAAGTACCAATGTCACTTTTTCCGAGTTAAATGTAACTACTTTCTAAGATTATTTAGACACCACTGACAAACGGTGAAGGAAAACATCGTGAGGAAACCTGGGCTTATAATTTCTAATTATAAGTTTGAAATCGCCAAACCGCATTGAGCAAGCGTGGTGATTAATGCTCAAACCTTCTCCGTGTGAGAAGAGGCTTTGCTCAACAGTGGGCATTTATAGGCTGTTGAAGATGACAGTACACCGGCGTGACACTACCACAGCGTTTTAATTGTGTCACGCCGTGTGAGGAAGGTTACCGGAGGCGCCTTCTAAAGTCCTAATAGCTAAAAAGCTGGCAACGCTTATCTTATGGGACAAACCACACATCCTCCCAAAACCGCTGCAACTTTAAGCTTTAACCTTTTGACTGCCCGTATATAGGACACAATAGAAAATGCATTGTGTCTCGCGTAGATCTACGTACCGGCACACGACGGGTTAAGTGTGGGAGAGCCATGCTTCGGCACGAATGGGCCGGCTCGACCGGAGTAATACCACGGCCTCACAGAAAAATGACGTGAAGCAACGCTTGCGTTGTGTTTAGTCGTGTGAGTGAGGTTACCGGAGGCCCAATTACCCTCCCCTTCCCCAATATCCCCAATTCCTGAATCCCTAACGATCCTCAAACTCCTAATCCCCAAAAGGCCGGTAACGCACTTGTAACGCCTCTGGTGTTCCAGGTGTCCATGGGCAACACCGATTGCTTACCATCAGGTGGTGCGTCTGCTCGTTTACCGGCTTATGCCATAAAAAAAACTTCTGTAAGCCAGGATCTACAGTAGATATGACAGTCGCCAAGTCAGTAAGTAGGTACTACGGAGAATTGACTTAAAACTGGGTCATATCTTTGAGTTGTTTTAGCTCGCTGCCATTGGAGCGGTAAGTCCCCTCTTTGAGGAGTGGCTTGAGAGACACTACGGCGTCCTCACCTACCGCCTGACGCAGGTCCTCACCGGACATGGGAGCTGCGGGACGTTCCTTTAGTCGGGTATACGACACCCACGGGAACAGTAGCGGTAGTGACAGATGTATTTTACTCTGCCGGTACCAATACATAACATCTTACTTCTTATAATATTATAAACTAGCTTCTGCTAGCGGCTTCGTCCACGTTTCCAGAGAGTTTAATCTATCTCTGATCTAAATTTCATCTCGGACCCTTCAGCAGTTCTGATATGTGAGTTTGTCTGTTTGTGTGTATGTTTGTTACTCAATCACGTCAAAACGGCTGAAGGGATCAGGATGTTTGGAACAGGGGTAGATTATGGTCTGGAGTAACACATAGAGTACTTTTTATACCGTGGGAACGCGGGCGAAGCCGCTGGGAGTAGCTAGTATGGATGATAGATTTTAAGTACATATGTTTGGTTCGTAAGTCACCCATCGATGGATATCGATTAGGTCACCCAAGGTGGACCTCATCAAGTTAGTCAAGGGTAACATCAAATGGACAACAAAAAACAAACTTTATTTTTCTATCATTAAAGTGTAATTTACCTTGCATTCTATAGTGGACATTTTCCCAATAAAAACTGACTGCTCATTCTAAAATCAACTTTAACGTAATAGGAATACTGTGCATATTAGTTTGAAAGCTATCTTTGTTTACATCGATCACAAATACACCCCCTATAATTTCGTATCAATGTCAAACCCCCCTAAAAAGGGGGGGAATTGATGAACAGAAAGGTCAGCGTAATAAGGGGTAATTTTAAAATGTTTGATGTTCATATAATTTGCTTAGAAAAGGCAAATATCATTGGAAAATTGATTCTTCGTATGCTCTTGAAATTGGTATGAAATTGCTGGTAGCATTTTTTATTTTGTCTTTTGCAGAATTTATATTTCTATGAGTAATTTTCTTGTGGATTGCATTACTTGATTCCCCCTAGTCCTTTCCATCATCGTACCACAAGACAATGGTGGTTGTGGTGGCCTGGAGGTTTAGGACGCCCGCTTCTCATGCATGAGGGTGCGGGCTCGAAACCTACTATCGGCAAGTACCAATGTGACTTTTTCCGAGTTATATGTACTTTCTAAGATTATCTAGACACCACTGACAAACTGTGAAGGAAAACATCGTGAGGAAACCTGGGCTTATAATTGCAAATTATAAGTCTGTAATCGTCAATCCGCATTGAGAAAGTGTGGTGGTTAATGCTCAAACCTTCTCCGTGTGAGAAGAGACTTTGTTCAGCAGTGGGCATTTATAGGATGACCACAAGACAATCGGCGAAGCGTCACCGATTCATGGTAGATGTTCCGCCCACACGCACGAAGCGCTTCGCATCAAGCTTCCTTGTGCGTACTGCTAAGGAGTGGAATTCTTTGCCAGAGTCTGTATTTCCTGAAGTGAAGGGTATAACCTGGGTGTCTTCAAGGCCCGAGTGAATAGGTTGCTTATGGGACGACGTGCTCCATCGTAGACCGCATCATCGCTTACCACCAGGCGAGATAGTGGTCAAACGTCGGCCCATCAAATATAGAAAAAATACTTGACTGCCTCGTTGGCCGAGTGGTTGCAAGTGCGACTGCCGGGCAAGGGGTCTCGGGTTCGATTCCCGGGTCAGGCAAAGTATTACTGGGTTTTAAAAAAAATCTCAGTAGTAGCACGGAGTCTGGAACTGTGCCCGGTATATGGCAATAGGCTCACCCCCTATTACATGGGACTCATAACGTAAATAGTGAAAAGTGGGTGTTACATTGTACAGTGACATTAAGTGCGGTAATGTGCACCTCTGCCTACCCCTTCGGGGATAAAAGGCGTGATGTTATGTAGGTATGTAACTAATAACACAAGTAGTACAAAGAGTTAAAAATTACATTCCTTAAATCGAATTAACTACATTTAAACTGTCAAACACCAAGCGGTCACCGGTGACCGCGACCTATTGTTCTTTAATTGTGTCTATAAAACCGGTACTCGACGAGTTAAAATAAAAATTAATGCTAAATACTGGTCTCATAACGACAAAATTACATTAATACATAGATAGACCTGTTCAATAAGTGTACTCAATACAAAATAACAATGACAAAATATTTGAGATCACATTAATGTCAAAAAACAAAACAAAATAGCACATGATGTAAAAAACAATGTCAACCATTAAAATTAAATCTATTATCAATGTCAAAATGAAAAAGAACAATAATAATACAAAGTAGGTAATTACAATGTCAATAAGAATTATCATTAACTAGTTTCTGCCCGCGGCTTTGTACGAGCAATCCCGTTTCTCCCATTCCCGTAGGATTTTCAGGACATTTTCTGTAAGAACCTCCTGACGATAACAAACACAACAAAAAAAAAAAATCAGCCAAATCGGTCTAGCCGTTCTCAAGTTATGGCGTGACAACGGGAAACGGGTTTCATTTTTGTATAACTATATACATAGATAATGTCTAAGAAAAACAAAATAAAAATGTACCTAATAATAAACAACGTAGAATCAAATCAAGTTTAATGTTTAAAATTAAAAATCTAGTCCTGTGTTTTCTCCATCCATCGTAAGCGCGGGCTTGGACGGCGAGCATTGGTGCACTCGCCGCCCGACCAGAAACAGACCCGAGAGTACGACGCGTCGCGTTCCGCGCGCGCCTCAAAGAGCCATCAGACCACCACAGATGGGGCCCAATAGGGCCGATGCCGTTACGGAGCCGCGGAGGACTTAACGGGTTGCCGGGGTTGCAGCTCGAAGGGCAGGAGTAGGAACGGGGTGGTTTTTAGTCAGTAAGAGTCTGACACTAAGGGCGGTAGAAGTCATTCGATGATTTACTGTTTAAAAAAAGGCCTGTGTTTTACAAGTTATCCACAGAGTAGAGGCATTTCTCCAATATTGAGCCTGTTTTTGAACGAGCTTGTATACAGAGCACTTTTCAATTCAAGTGGCAGTCTATTAAATATTTTAACTGCCTGATACAGTGGACTATGTCTAACAATGTTAAGTGATGGGATGAGTTTGCTTTCTAAATCCTTCCTACGTGTTTTTTCTCTTAAGAATTTATCTTCAGCAATTTCAAAGCAATAAATGTGTTTCTTTAAGATTGACACGAGTACCTACCAGTACGTAAAGTCCAGGCACTGTGAGGATATCAAGCTCCCTATAATGTCGCGGAGAACCTAACGGGTTACCGGGGCTCCGGCTCGAAGTGCAGGAGTAGGAACGGGGTAGTTTTTAGTCAGTAAGAGTCTGACACTCCCTCCCTCCTCACCCAGGAGGGAGAAGACATTCGATGATTTTCCCCCCTTAAAAAAACTAGAAAAATACCAGCTACTTTCATTTTACAATTAATTTTATCGATTACATCATTAACCAATGTATAGATTGCATCCACTGGGCCTACATTCTTCTGGTAACCGAATTGTCTTTTATTTTGACTATTTCGAAATTTTTTTAAATCGTTGGCAGCGAGGAAATAGTCCTGTAGTTTCTTGCATCCGTAATCCGTTTTCTTCACTATTTACTTTGTGCGTCCCATGCACCCATGTAATAGGGGGTGAGCCTATTGCCATATACCGGGCACGATTCCAGAGTCCGTGCTACTACTGAGATTATTTTAAAAAAAACCCAGTAATACTTGGCCCGGCAGTCGCACTTGCGACCACTCGGCCAACGAAACAGTCAAGTGTTTTTAATTCAGTGTCAGATAAAAAGACAAATAAAAACTAGTAGTTGATGAATTAACACCTACACGGTAAACAGGTCCACTACGACCTATTTATAGTTTCAGTCAAGTCATCATGACTGATAAAAATTACATATGTTTTTATGATATTACGTAACATTGTGTAATTATTGTGTGTATCTACTAAAATTGCACCATAGTTTAATTAAAAAGATACTGTGTCGCTATAAATATTTATACTACGGTGTTTAAGTAACAAGTAGTATCTACGGCATCTTTTTTATGGGATTTTTTAGGGGCGAAAAATCATTAAGCGAATCGCCGAGAGGGAGTGTCAGACTCTTACTGACTAAACACCACCCCGTCTACTCCTGCATAGGGTCGGAGCTCCGGTAACCTCTTAAGTCTTCCGTGGGTCCGTATCGCCATCAGCCCCATTGGGCCCTATCCGTGGTGATCTGATGGCTTATGGTGCTTACTCTTGAATCCAATCTCAATGTCAATACAATTTCAATCCAATATGATCTCAATAATTATTCAATGTCAACACTATACAACCACAATCGTAGCTGTTACAATAGCATTCAGAGTACGGAGTATAAAGACAAACTCAATACCATAAAGTATATTTAATATCCGCGCAATACGGATACAATTTCACAATATCAACGTCGATCGATCAGAATTGGATTCAAGAGTAAGCCCCGGTCGGACGGCGAGTTACCCGTGCTCGCCGTCCGGAGGCCCGTGCTTACGGTGGCCGGAGAACATCACGTGATCCCCGACGCTTGAAGTGTCCTTCGCGACGGCTGACGTGTGTCTAAGACACCCGAATCACTAGAGGGATTTTAAGTGTGGGAGAGCCATGCTTCGGCACGAATGGGCCGGCTCGACCGGAGCGATACCGCGGCCGAGCAGAAAACCGACGTGAAGCAACGCTTGCGTTGTGTGTCGTGTGAGTGAGGTTACCGGAGGCCCAATCACACTCCCCTTCCTCAATCTCCCCAATTCCTGAATCCCCAACGATTGTCAAACTCCTAATTCTAACAGCCGGTAACGCACTTGTAACGCCTCTGGTATTTCAGGTGTCCATGGGCGACGCCGATTGCTTACCATCAGGTGATCTGTCTGCTCGTTTACCGGCTTATGCCATAAAAAAAGGGAGCTAAAACTGCGCTACCGGCTTTTTGGGATTAGGAATGAGAGGATTGTTCGGAATTAGGGAAATTGGGGAGTTATAGCCGTTCTAGAGTGATATTATAGATTTTGATATTAAAGTTTTTAATTCTATTTCCAGTCCAAGCCCGGTGAAGTGGCGCAAGCAGTGAAGGATGCCATCGACGCCGGCTACCGACACATCGACTGCGCCCACGTCTACATGAACGAGAAGGAGGTGGGGCAGGCTTTGAAAGCAAAGTTCGATGAAGGAGTCGTAAAAAGGTAAAAAGAACAACAGCTTATTATACATTTTACCACCGCTACTATTCCCGTGGGTGCATTATACCCGACTGTTTTGTACCATTGGCGAAGGCTGTATAGCAGCAACATTTACCTTCTTTATATATACATAGGTACATTTTTACAATCCTTACTCTTCACATGGGTGGCTTATACCCGACTGTTAGATGACAATTGACATCTAACAGAGGATGGTGGACAGCAGAAACAATGACGTTTTTAACATTCACCACCCCTGCTCTTCACATGGGTGTCTTATACCCGATTGTTGGATAACATCGTATAACAGAGGTTTGACAGCAGCAGTTACCCTTTTCAACATTTTATCACCCCTGTTCTTCACATGGGTGTATTACACCCGGCTAAGGGATTACAATTTTGACAGGCGCACAGAGTCCGAAACATTGTGTTTGTGTGTATGTTTTTTTATTGACTGACTGACTGACTGACTGACTGACTGACTAACTTGTTTGGAACAGGGGTAGATTGTGGTCTCACGTAACTAGGCTATTTCGCACGGAAACACGAGCGAAGCCGCTGACAGAAGCCAGTATTGTACGTATGTATGTATGTATGATCTAAAATGATGACGTATTGTACGAAGTGGATGTTTATCAGCTAATCGACATCCTTCACGCAATCGTTAATTAGAATTTTTACAACCTTATAACACGTACTATAGGCTACAATACGGTATTTTAGTCATATCCATGATGAGATGAGAACAATTATATGAGAAACAATCAAGTGTGGGAGAGCCATGCTTTGGCACGAATGGGCCGGCTCGACCGGAGTGATACCACGGCCTCACAGAAAACAGACGTGAAACTACGCTTGCGTTGTGTTTCGTCGTGTGAGTGAGGTTACCGGAGGCCCAATTACCCCCTTCCCCAGTCTCCCCAATCCCCGATAGTTGCACGTTAGCCGTATATATTGCCACTCTAAAAATTTCTCCCCAATTTCAGGGAAGATATTTTTATCACATCAAAACTATGGTGCACCGCCCACCGTCCGGATCTTGTGGAGGGTGCCATTAAGACTACGGTTAGCAACCTGGGATTGGATTATTTAGACTTGTATTTGATTCATTGGCCTCAAGCTTTTAAGGTAAGCCTGTAGTTCAGATTTTTTTACTAACAAAAAGGTTGCCCCACACTCGGATTTTCTCCTGTGTCGTGGGTGCGTTTACAAACATACAAGTTCACATACACATGCCACCCAGACCCGGAACAACAATCTGTGTATCATACAAACAGTTGTTCCGTGCGGGAATCGAACCCGCGACACGCCGCGCGATAGTCGGTTGCTTAACTACTGTGCCAAACGTGCAGTCATCACGTCTTTTATCCCCGAATGGGTAGGCAGAGGTGCACATTACGGCATTTAATGCCATTGTACAATCATGCACTATTCGCTATTTATGTTATGAGTCCCATGTAATAGGGCGTGTGCCTATTGTCATTTACCGAGCACAATCCAGACACCGTGCTACTACTGAGATTTTTTTTAAAAACACGGATGAACCAAACCTTTTGCGAGTTCGATTCGCGCACGGAGCAACTCTTTATGTGATCCACAAATTGTTGGTTCGGGTCTTGGTGTGAGGTGTATGTGAAATTATGCGTTTGTAAACACACACACGAATCATGAGAAAATCCTAGTGTGGGGCTACGTTCTTTAAAATATAAAAACACTACATAACATCTAAACTAAATCTCATCTTGCTATGTCCTTGCCAAAGTCAGTTCTATTCACACTTCCAGGAAGGAGAGGAACTATTCCCAACAGGAGCTGATGGCAAGGTCATTCCGTCACCAGTAGACTTTGTCGACACTTACAAGGAGATGGAGAAACTGGTAGAGAAGGGTCTCACAAGAAGTATTGGACTTTCAAACTTCAATAAGAAGCAGATTGAAAGAGTTTTAGAAGTCGCTTCGATAAAGCCGGCCATGTTGCAGGTATGGTTTTGAATGACACAAATCTTGTCTTATAATTATTTTGTTATTATTTACTAGCTGTTCTGCCCGCGACTTCGTCCGCGTAGCATATGATTCCTGTTTTGTCCCATGGGAGCATTCAATCGGGATAATAAGTCCTATCACCTAAGTCAGCCCATATCCTGCCTGAATACTAAATTTCATTAAAATCCGTTCAGTAGTTTCAGCGCGATTGACGGACAAACATTCAAACAAAGAAACTTACACATTTATAATATTAGTGCGATATTGTTTTTTTATTCATCATCGTCATCAACAGCCTATAAATGCCCACTGCTGAGCAAAGCCTCTTCTCACACGGAGAAGGTTTGAGCATTAATCACCACGCTTGCTCAATGCGGGTTGGCGATTACAAATTTATAATTAGAAATTATAAGCCCAGGTTTCCTCACGATGTTTTCCTTCACCGTTTGTCAGTGGTGTCTAAATAATCTTAGAAAGTACATATAACTCGGAAAAAGTCACATTGGTACTTGCCGTTGGTAGGTTTCGAACCCGCACCCTCATGCATGAGAAGCGGGCTTCTTAAACCTCCGGGCCACCATGACATCATGACATGAGGTCCGGTCCGCCGGTGGCCTGTGTTGCTCTACGATTTATACATATAAAGTTAAAGAGCTTGATTGTTTGTTTGTTTGAAAGGTCTAATCTCAGAAAGTACTGGTCCGATTTGAAAGATTCTTTTTGTGTGGGTGTATATAGGCTACAAAATATCATGCTACGATCAAGAGGCGCTGATCAGATCGAGTGAAGACGCGGGGAAGCAGCTGTTCTGTTAGTGGTATCATCCACTCTTGTTATCTTAGTCAAGACTTTTTGAACTTTATGGAATGAAACCGTACAAAAACGACCCCCAATTTCACCAGTATGTAACATCTTATTCAAAAACCTTTAGAATAGTATGCAGAGTCGCGAAACGTCTTTATATTAGTAATAAAATAAAATCGTCTGATGATAAGATAAAAACTACTTGGAAAGTTATACACAACGAGACTGGTAGGAAAAGATTAAGAAACTCAGAATTTAATTTAAATACCGAAAGGGGACAGATTTCATCAAACGTAGATGTAGCCCAGGAGTTTGAAAATTTTTTTACTAACATTCCTATTAAAACAACTGAACATTTAAAGTCATCAGCAAACCTATCTGTAACTTTGCTTAAGAACAACATAGAATCATGTCAATACGACTTTAGTTTTCGATATACGAATCCTCTAGAAATTATAAAAGTTTTTAAAGAAATCAAGACCAAATCAACGGAGGATCTTTGGAGCTTATCGGTAATAGTTTGCAAGTCACTTATCCAAACTGTAGCGCCATATCTGGCTGTGATTTTCAATAAATGTATAGATGACGGTGTTTTCCCTGACCTAATGAAATATAGTAAGGTTATCCCACTATTTAAAAGTGGTGACACTAAAGAACCTAACAACTATAGGCCAGTGTCTGTTTTGCCGGTTCTCAGCAAAGTCTTTGAAAAGTTGATGCTGTCTCGGATGCTTCATCATTTTAATAAACATTCCATCTTTCACCAACAACAATACGGTTTCACTAAAGGTCGTTGTACAACTGACGCCGGTGTCACTTTGATTAAGGAAATATTTGGTGCTTGGGAGGAAGCACAGGATGCCATTGGTGTCTTTTGTGACCTCTCAAAAGCATTTGATTGCGTTGACCACGAGACACTTTTGCTGAAATTAGATCACTACGGGATAAGAAACTCTGCCCTCCGTCTTATGAGATCTTATTTAGAAGAGAGACAGTTAAAGGTTCATGTTAACGGTATTAACTCGCAGGGCTCTGGGATGAATATGGGCGTTCCTCAAGGTTCAATATTGGGTCCCTTTCTCTTTTTAGTCTATATAAATGATTTGCCATTTATATTTAAAAATGAACCACGAATGGTGCTTTTTGCAGATGATACATCATTAATTTTTAAAATAGATCGACGTACAAATAATCTTGACGACGTAAACAGCTCCATTCTTCAAGTGCATAATTGGTTCACCATTAATAATCTAGCACTTAATGAGAAAAAAACAAAATGTATTAAATTCAGTTTACCAAACGTGCGTAGTAACGATAGTGATATTGTTTTGAACGGTCAAAAGTTAGAATTTGTCGACGAGACAGTATTTTTAGGCATTACGTTAGACATTAGGCTACAATGGGGTCCGCATATAAAGGCGCTTTCGGGGAGATTAAGCTCAGCTGCTTTTGCAGTTAGACAGATTAGACAGCTCACGGACGTAGATACAGCTAGGCTTGTCTATTTTAGTTATTTCCACAGCATTATGTCGTACGGCATTTTGTTGTGGGGTCGAGCTGCAGAAATAGAATCAATATTTATTCTACAAAAGCGGGCTATCCGAGCAATATATAACTTACGCCGTTGCGAATCGCTGAGAGAATTGTTTAAAACGATAAATATTTTAACGGTGCCCTGTCAATATATATATGAAAATATAATGTATGTAAGGAAAAGTAGGCAATTGTTTGAAAAAAGAAGCGATAGACACAATTTTAATACTAGAGGCAAAAATAAGTTAGCTATACCGCAATTCAGACTGTCCAAAGTACAGAAATCCTTTATGGGGTTAGGTATTAAATGCTATAATAAAATACCAAATAGCATACTAGATCTCAGTGAAAGTAAATTTAAAACATATATTAAGCGCGAATTATGTAATCAAGCCTACTACACACTGACAGATTATCTTGAAGATAAGAATGTTTGGCAGCATGTTGGTTCGGCTCCACTGGACAATACTCAAATGTAGTCAGTAGCTAAATTCCAATAGTAGGTAGTTTAATACATAATTTAACACTTTAATTCTAACGTAGACAATCTAGTTTCCTTATGGCATCGAGCATTTCTTTATTGAAACAAAGTTTCCTTTTCTTGTATAGAAGCACTAATTCTATGGATTGTCAGTATGCATATGTGAGCACCATGTTGGACTTCAAGATTTTTATATATTTTTTAATTTTAGTAAGTTATTAGTATAATTCGTCAAGCATGTCTTTGCATTGTTCTTACATATGCGTACAGTATTGAAATATGTATCAGAGACATTGTAGAACATACTTTTTTTAAAAAAGAGTAACGAATGGAGTTTCTTGCTCGTTCTTCTCCATTCGAATCTACTTTTTGGAATGAGCACCTAGCTTCACCTAGTTTCACTGACGGACTGACTGACAGACTATTATTTATTTTGTATTTGTTGACGTTTCAAAAGCACCAAACTATGGTTTAATTGAAATAAATGCTTTGACTTTGACTTTGACTTTGACTTCAAGGAGACACAGTTTAGCTAAGAATAGTATTGGATTCATTGTATGAGAAGTGTAATTTCTTTTAGAGCGATTACTGCATATTCATATTAATTATTCAGGTGGAGTTTAGAACTAACTAATTTAATCCTTTGACATAATTTTGAGAAATATGCTTCGGTTATCGGGGAGTCACAAATATAATGCCATATTATACAATAGTTATGTAACATTATTAATATTAATATCTTTAAAACAGACATGGATATTGTCTCTCACACAATTCTAGCGTTGTCTTTTTATCAAACAGTATCATGATAACAATAATAGGAATCTTTATAATATACCATTATCGATGCAGTAATTTCTTATATTTAACAAAAGGCGTCATTCAATGTTATTGTGATAACCAGAACCAGTGAAATAAATAATGCATTGTTGCTCCTCCACGGAGCATCCTCAGGAGTTATTTACTCGGGGACTCTTGCGGCTTAAAAGACAGTTCTTAGTGTAGTGTCGTGGTGGTGGAGGTTTAAGACGCCCGCTTCTCATGCATGAGGGTGCGGGTTCGAAACCTACCAATGGCAAGTACCAATGTGACTTTTTCCGAGTTATATTACTTTCTAAGATTATTTAGACACCACTGACAATCGGTGAAGGAAAAACTTCGTGAGGAAACCTGGACTTATAATTTCTAATTATGGGTTTGAAATCGCCAACCCGCATTGAGCAAGCGTGGTGATTAATGCTCAAACCTTCTCAATGTGAGAAGAGGCTTTGCTCAGCAGTGGGCATTTATAGGCTGTTGATGATGATGATGATGTTAGTGTAGTAGATTTCTGCAAAGTAATTCTTGAAAACCATTGCAGGGAGGTACGATTCACCTATAATACATGATATCAACACAACCTATAATAATACATCATATTCCCAACAGTAGGCTTGTAACAAAATAGGTACTAACATAGTTTTAAGATTTTAATTTTTTTCTTACTAACTAACCCCTATGGATGTTTCACTTGTCCGAAATAAACATTATTTTATTTATTTATTTATTTATATACGCTCCATCTCTTTACAGATCGAAGTCCACCCATATCTAAACCAACAAAAACTGATCGACTTCTGCAAGCTCCATGACATAGCGATCACAGCATACTCTCCACTTGGCTCCCCTGACAGACCCTGGGCCAAACCTGACGATGTGAAGTTATTGGACGACCCAAAACTCAAGGCTATCGGTGATAAATACGGAAAGAGTTCCGCTCAAGTCCTTATCAGGTTTGTTGGGAATATGTGCTATATTTATCATTGTTTTGGTGTACAGTTGCACACATGCAAACGATATATCTACAGCTCTTTCAACAAAACTCACAACAATGTTAAACATGTACACCTTTTTTTACGAGCAGACGGATCACCTAATGATAAGCAATCGGCGTCGCCTAGAACACCAGAGGAGTTATAAGTGCATTACCGGCCTGCTTACCATCAGGTGATCCATCTGCTTGTTGGCCTCCTATTCAATAAAAAAATCAAAATTGTTGATAAACAGAAAAAGTAATAGTAATACTTTGGCTAACTTAATAACCGAACATGACACCTCTTCCTCGACAGCCATTCTTGGTCACCAAGACTAAGAGAGACAGTTTAACATAGTCAACAATAAAAAAATAATGTTTCACTGCTTCATTGACCGAGTGATCGCAAGTGCGACTGCCGAGCAAGGGGTCTCGGGTTCGATTTCCGTGTCGGGAAAAGAAATACTGAGTTTTTTAAAAATTCTTAATAGTAGTATGGAGTCGGGAATTGTGCCCGGTATGTGGCAATAGGCTCACCCCTCATTACGTGGGCCTCATATCCTACATACTGAAAAGTGGTGTTACATTGTACAGTGGCATTGAGTGCCGTAATGTGCACCTCTGCATATCCATTCGGGGATAAAAGGCGTGATGTTATGTTAAATAATAAATCTTTCTTCCCTCAGATACGCTATCGACCGCGGCCTCGTGGTCATCCCTAAATCGGTCTCAAAGAACCGGATCGTACAAAACTTCAACGTGTTTGATTTCCAACTGACCCTCGATGACATAATGGAGATATCTTCCCTTGAGTGCAACGGCAGAATCTGTTCCATGGGAGAGTAAGTACTATATTTTATTATGTTTATTTTTATAAAATAGAATGAATCTCACAAGTATTTTCTCCTGCGTTGTGGGATAGGTTATTTGTGACATTCAATTCTGGCTTCTCCCAGTTATACAGTTTCTTTTAGGTTTAATTCATTTGCTCCCGCAGTAATTTTTTTCATGGTTTTAATGAGTACACGGATCACCACATGGTAAGCAATCGGCGTCGCCCATGGACACCTAAAACACCAGGGGCTTTACAAGTGCGTTTCCGGCCTTTTTGGAATTGGTATTTTGGAGTTTGGGGAGGAGATTGGAGAGAAAAAGGGGGAGGAGGGTAATTTGGCCTCCGATAGTCTCACTCATACGACGAAACACAATGCAAGCGTTGTTTCACGTCGGTTTTCTGCTCGGTCGTGGTATCACTCGGTCGAGCCGGCCTATTTGTGCCGAAGCATGGCTGCCACTTCCAAAATATGTATAATTACAAATATATAATTTATATTCTATTTTGTTTCAGCACACATCATCCAGATTACCCATTCCATGACGAATACTGAAAGCCAGCGCTGGAAGTCTCGAAAATGATACGAAATCGGTCACTTACTTAGAAATTGCAATTATCAATTTTGAACCTTTAACGCAAAAGGATATGGTTAAAATTCCGTTAAATAAATTCATGACTTAAAGACCGTTTTCGCCACTTTGGGATTGGGACAAGCATTCCTAATTTATTTATTTATTTGCTTAAGAAAACATGCATTTTAGTGATATTTATAAGAATTATTGTGATTTATAGTGAAAACACTAGACACTTCTTAGGTATCGCACAGTGTGTTGTGTGCAGTTTTAATCTACACGATTTAAGAAAAAAAAGTAATTCTATACACTACATTTTTTTAATGTACACTTGTGTTTAAAATGTAATTTGTCAATTTTTTTATAGCACTGTTTTAACAAAACACAAAAGTTCGTTAATTTGTTTTTAAGTAAATTTCCTGTGTCAACAATTTTGTGCTAATTGTTAATAGAATTTAATATTATCAATAAAATTAAAAAAAACATTATTGTTTTAATAATAATAAATCAAAAACAAATTTCTCAAGCCCCGAATATTTTTTATTTTATTAGGTAGTACTTCAAAAACTAATCTTAATGATAGTCTTAATTTATTTTATTTATTTGTTACTAACATTTTATGCAATTAATTACGGAGTCAAAAGAAACCTCGAAACAATTAGAAATTGCAAAAAAACACACCACAAATCCTTAATTTTAACCTGGTAACCCAGTAACAAGTTACAAAAACAATGGTAATTTTAATCGACGTCTGGCAACACTGCAACTGTCAAAGTGGTTACTCTCGACAGACGACATTGTAGACTTATTTTATTGTTTTTCGCAAAATGAATAGCGATACCGACCATTTACTTTGTAGATTGTGTTTAAATAACGATAATTTAATTCCATTATTTACTGGTACAAGAGAAGATGCTGATTTTAGCGATTTACTATATCTTAGTACCGGCGTTACCGTAAGTTTGTTTTGGTATTTTGTTTATTGTTGTTTTTTGCAAATTGTCCTTGAATATTGAATAATGAAGGTATAAAGTTTAAATACTAAATTAAACCCTTATTTATGAACACGATAGTTTATAAAACAGTATTTAGCTTAATAAGATGACAGGTACTGTGGCCAGTAAATTAACCTATTCTTTTCTGTCAAATTTCTCTATTACATCTTCAACTTATTGTGGTGACATAAAGTCGAAATTACAATTAACAAATTTGAGTTACTTTATTTTCGTTAGCAAGTTTGTTGTACATAAAAATACGTAACTTTTATTTGTTAATAGAATAATAATTATGAAGTCAAATTGTTCTTTAAGTACTGCAAAGCTCTTGAAATCATTTACCTATCTATATAAATAAACATGTATTTCCGTTTGATAGTCTCGCTAAAACTCGAAAACGGGAACCGATTTGGCTAATTTTGGTACTGAAAAATGTTTACGGAAGTCCAGGGAAGGTAAGGTGAAAGAAAGCGGGATTTTTTTTTTGTGAGGCAGTACGAAGTTGCCGGCTTAGCTAGTTATTCATATTTATTTACGTTTTTTATTCTGTTACCCAAAATTAAAACAATCCTTACTAATAATATTATAAATCGGAAAGTGAGTTTGTTTGTTTGGTCCACTTTCACGCCGTAACTACTAAACTGATTGCTTTGAATTTTTGCAAATGTGAAGTTAGCAGTCTGGATTAAATAATAGGGTACTTTTTATCCCGGAAAATTTGATATTCTCGAGGGAAAACGAAATAATTGGTATAGATGGCGCTGTGTGTATTGGTATATGTCACGTAGGCTACTTTTTATCCTCTTGTGACGCGAGCGAAGCCGCGGGTAAACGCTAGTATTCAATAAAGTTGCTAGGGTATCAAAGTCCGTCAGACAATGAAAAAATATTAGATTTTTTTATTTTCTCGTATAAAGTTAAGATACTTAGATTAAATGTCGTTAAGTTTAGGAGTGGGAGGTCGTTACACGATGTTTCAAATTAATATATCGTCGGAAGTATTTAACTTTGTGAGAAAGGAAAAAATACGTGTCTAATGTTTTAAATTAATGTACCAGACGGACATTAATTTTAAATTTAGGAAACTACCCTAGCTACGTCGACTAAAGTAACTTCACTTTGTTAAAAATGTTGATACTGCATGAGATTAATTCAACAACTAAAATTCAGATGTCAGCACCGTAGCTTGAACTGTCAAAATGTTTTTTTCGGAATTTCAACGTTAATGTAGTTAAAATAAAGTCGAAATCTCATTGGTTATAACTTGCAACTGTCAGATAGGATATACTTTGCGACTTTGAGTATCTAGTTTAGTTCGTGAAGTAAGAGGTTTTGGGTTCGATTCCCGGCTTGGGTCAGATAGGTTAAATACTTTGCGACCTTGAATACCTAGTTTAGTTTATGAAGTTAGATGTTTTGGGTTCGATTCCCGGGTGGGTCAGATAGGTTAAATTCTTTGCGACCTTGAGTACTTAGTTTAGTTTGTGAAGTGAGAGATTTCGGGTTCGATTCCCGGGTCGGATAAAATATCGTTGGGTATTATCGATATTTTAAAATCTACATAACATAACATCACGCCTTTTATCCTCGAAAGGGTAGGTAGAGTTGCACATTATACCACTGTACAATGTAACACCCACTTTTCACTATTTATGTTATGAGTCCCATGTAATAGGGGGTGATCCTATTGCCATATACCGGGCACAATTCTAGAGTCCGTGCTACTACTGAGAATTTTAAAAACTCAGTAACTAATAGTTTGCCCGACCCGGGAATCGAACCCGAGACCCCTTGCCCGGCAGTCGCACTTGCGACCACTCGGCCAACGAGGCAGTTGCCCGTGACTATTATGATGCAAATAAACGATTTTTCTTTCTTTCTTTCTTCTTATACTTCTGCACGATCGCTGATGAACATTTTTAAGTCCCAAATGTCGAAATACTCATACGAAACTCAATTTTAAGTCGGGCTTAAGTACCTATTAGTTGTGTCGCTACAAATTCTTTGTAAAATGACAGAGACGGCACGATATTTAAGTACTACTTCAAATTCAGCCGTTCAGTATTCGAGCGTAAGTCACCCACGGGAACACTAGAGGTGGCAACAAAATGTATTATAGGTACGTCACCACGCGACTTATATTGACACTAGCCACTTAAGCGCGGTTTCACACGCTCTGCTCAGCTCCTATTGATCGTAGCGTGATGTTTTATAACCTATAGCCATCCTCGATAAATATACTATCCAACACAAAAAGAATTATTCTAATCAGACTTGTAGTTACGGAGATTAGCGCGTTTAAACAAACAAACAAACAAAAAGACAAACTTCCGCTTTATATAATAGTATAAGAAGTATAAGATTAGATTTAATAAATTACAGATACAACCAAACGACGGTCTACCTCAAATGATATGCGAAAAATGTAAATTAGACGTATATTCAGCTATATATTTAAGAAATAGAAGCGAAGACAGCGAGGCCAAATTGTTAGAAGCTGGTTATCAAAAAACTAGTGAACAAACCATAACAGTCGAAGCTAATTACGAAAATGGTGATGACGTATCAGAAACTGGAGAAAACGATGACGATAATACCGATAATAACGATACTGAAGACGTAAATTCAGATAAAGATGACGTATTAACAAATAATAATAAAAATCAAGACTTGAAATCAGGAAATCTAAAAAACGGTAACATATCAGTGACATATACAAAAAATTACGACGAAATAGCAATAGATAATAGAATTGACGATATAAATATAGATGATTATGAAATTGTGAATGGATTTCCTGAATTAAAATCTAATAAAATCGACAAATTGAATGAACACGTTGACCTGACAAAATTACCGATTGGCATAGAGTTAAGAAAAGTATCGAGTAAAGAGAAGAGGTTACAGTATTTGTCTTTGGTTGATGGTCAATTTGACCCAAAGGGGCCTATAAAGTGTAAAGTTTGCAAGACTATCTCAAGGAATTGGCACTGCTTTCTAAGTCACGCGAAGAAACATATTGGATTCGATTTTATATGCGAGGTAAGTTATAAAAAATACTATCACTACGTAGTATAAGTTTAAGTGTGGGAGAGCCATGCTTCGGCATGAATGGGCCGGTTCGACCGGAGTGATACCACGGCCGAGCAGAAAACTGACGTAAAGCAACGCTTGCGATGTGTTTCGTCGTGTGAGTGAGGTTACCGGAGCTCCAATCACCTTCCCCTTCCCCAATCTCCCCAATCCCTGAATCCGCAACGATCCTCAAACTCCTAATCCCCAAAAGGCCGGTAACGCACTTGTAACGCCTCTGGTGTTCCAAGTGTCCATGGGCGACGCCGACGCTGTCTATTTTGTACGCAGAAACCACAAACCGCCATCTGGTTATGACTGGTTATTACACACGACGGAACAACGTTTGCGTTGTTTTTATAATAACTATCGTGACACATACTAAATTAACTAAAAAAATCCCGGGTTACTCACGGGAATCGCCACAACCTGCGTGCGCGGTCGCGGCGAATTATCATTTTCCATTTTTAGTTCATGAGGACCCCTCTGTGGTTCGAAACTAGTAGAGCTGTTCTCAGTATATTCACGTGAGTAACCCGCGTTTTTTAGTTAACGTTTGCGTTGTTTCGTCGTGTGAGTGAGGTTACCGGAAGCCCAATCCCTGAATCCCAACAATCCTCAAATTCCCAATTCCCAAAAGGCCGGTAACGCACTTGTAACGCCTCTGGTGTTCTAGGTGTCCATGGGTGACGCTGATTGCTCACCATTAGGTGATACGTCTGCTCGTTTACCGCCATAAAAAAAACAGTGAATACTAATAAGTGTGGGAGAGCCATGCTTCGGCACGAATGGGCCGGCTCGACCGGAGTGATACCACGGTCGAGCAAAAAACCATAGTGAAGCAACGCTTGCGTTGTGTTTCGTCGTGTGAGTGAGGTTACCGGAGGCCCAAGTACCCTCCCTAGTCTCCCGAATCCCCGAATCCTCCACAATCCTCAAATTCCCAATTCCCAAAGAGCCGGTAACGTACTTCAAGTACGGTACTTGTAACGCGTCTGGTGTTCCAGGTGTCCATGGGCGACGCCGATTGCTTACCATCAGGTGATCCGTCTGCTCGTTTATCGGCTTAAAAAAAACAGCTAAGTAATAGTTAGTCGTCGGTGATGGAACAAGTGCCAATACCAGCGTCTTGTGTGGCCGTGGTATCTGGACTCTTACGATCAAGCTATAAACTGATAAAATATCTTTCTATTTCCAGTTCTGTGGCAAAAGATTTATAGGTTCCCATCAACTGAAACGTCACTGCAGATCCCACCACGGTATGAAAAGAGATATAGCTTGCAAACACTGCGACTATCTCGCTCTAGACAACTCTCAGATGCGGGTGAGTGAAAGGGATGAATATATTTCACTTAGTTCCTCTTCTATAGGTCGGTAAATAGCAGAGCATGTCGTGGTGGCCCGGAGGTTTAAGACGCCCGCTTCTCATGCATGAGGGTGCGGGCTCGAAACCTGCCAACGGCAAGTACCAATGTGACTTTTTCCGAGTTATATGTACTTTCTAAGATTATTTAGACACCACTGACAAACAGTGAAGGAAAAATCGTGAAGAAACTTGGGCTTATAATTTCTAATTATAAGTTTGTAATCACCAACCCGCATTAAGCGAGCGTGGTGATTAATGCTCAAACCTTCTCCGTGTGAGAAGAGGCGAGTGAGGAGAGGATTTAAAAAAGTGCTGCGTGGTTTTATATCATATTTTGAGCTAATTGAGTCGAGTTCCTCGTCAAATAATTCAAATTCATAGTCAAAGCAATTATTTCAATTAAACCATAATTTAGTACTTTTGAAACGTCAACAAATACAAAATGAATAATAGTCTGTCAGTCAGTCCGTCAGTGAAGCTAGGTGCTTTTTCCAAAATATAGATTCGAATGGAAAAGAACGAACAAGAAACTCCATTCGTTACTCTTTTAAAAAACAATATGTTTTACAATTAACTTCAATCCCGGGTTACTCGCGTGAATATACTGAGAAAAGCCCCACTAGTTTCGAACCACAGTGAGCTGCGCGACGTCGCCTCGACCGCGCACGCTGCTCATGAGGAAGAACCTTTCTGTGGTTCGCAATTAGTACAGCTTTTCTCAGTATATTCACGTGAGTAACCCGCGATTTTAATTAATTTAGTATGTCTCACAGTGTTTTAAAATATCCGAGAATTACGTGAGTAAGCCGAAATAATATAATTCTCTTCTGTGGATGTTTACAATTGACATATACTTAGCAAATGGGTCTCGTTAATTTATTAAATTAAATGTCGTAACTTTTATAACTATATTACTAATTTTTTTTTAACAAGTAAATGTTTATTATTGGAAAATAAAACTACTTTGCGACTATTAATATTATGTATTAAAAACTAAAATATTTACACCTTAAAAAAATAATAATGAAAATATATCATAAGGCATCAAAGAAAACATTTTCCTCATCGTTACCGTGAGGTAGGGTGCCCAAAAGACTGGCAGCATTGCCACGTTGAATGGCAATGCTTAACTTTTGCCCAAGGTCGATCACCTAAAGTGAATAACATAATTATTACGAAACTAATACCTTACTAATAATCCTTACTAATATTATAAATCGGAAAGTGAGTTTGTTTGTTTGTTCCACTTTCACGCCGTAACTACTAAACCGATTGCTTTGAATTTTTGCAGACGTAAAGTTTGAAGTCCGGATTAAATAATAGGGTACTTTAACCCGGAAAAAATTGATATTCCCGAGGGAAAACAAAAATATTGGTATAGATGGCGCTGTGTGTATTGGTATATGTCACATAGGCTACTTTTTATCCTTTCGTGACGCGAGCGAAGCCGCTGGTAAAAGCTAGTAACAAATATAATAATATTTGCAGCTCCACGTCAGACGTATGCATACATTGGAGCGTCCGTTTGTATGCGACGACTGTGGCGCCTCCTACCACAGCCGACGATGTCTCGTCCAACATATCGATTGCCATCGCCCCGTCACTATATCACAGGTACTTACGAAAAAACTTAAAATAGGGCTTTAAACATTTAGTTCTCGTCCTTGTCATCAGGAGAAATTGACATATTATCTAATGAGACTGCCTCGTTGGCAGAGTGGTCGCAAGTGCGACTGCCGGGTAAGAGGTCTCGGGTTCGATTCCCGTGTCGGACAAAGTATTATTGGGTTTTTAAAAATCTCATTAGTAGCACGGAGTCTGGAGTTGTGCCCAGTATATGGCAATAGGCTCACCCCCTATTACATGGGACTCATAACATAAATAGTGAAAAGTGGGTGTTACATTGTACAGTGGCATTAAGTGCCGTAATGTGCATCTCTGCCTACCACTTCGGGGATAAAAGGCGTGACTGACTAAAAACCACCCTGTTCCTTCTCCTGCACTTCGAGTCGGAACCCGGCAACCCGTTAAGTCTTCCGCGGCTTCGTATTGGCATCAGCCCTATTGGGCCCCATCCGTGGTGGTCTGATGGCTCTTTGAGGCGCGCGCAGAACACGACGCGCCGTACGCTCGGGTCTGGTACCGCAGGTCGGTGCTTACGGTGGCCGGAGATCGTCTCGTGATCCCTGACGCCCGGATGTCTCTAGCGACGGCTGGGGCGTGAGGAAGTTCGTTCCCTCACGCGCTCCGCCTCCTCCTCAGCTAGCATGACTGCTTAGCAGAAGGAGGAGACGGCATCCCAGTCCCCCTCGCTCCGTACCATGGTCTGAACCAGAGCCGGACGCGAGAGGTCATCGCCCATTATTCCCTTGACATTCTTTTTTGATATTAACACGTTTTAAAAAAGTTACTGCCTCATTGGCCGAGTGGTCGCAAGTGCGACTGCCGGGTAAGGGGTCTCGGGTTCGATTCCCGGGTCGGACACAGTATTATTGGGTTTTTAAAAATCTCAGTTGCACCACGAAGTCTGAAATTGTGCCTGGTATATGGCAATAGGCTCACCCCCTATTACATGGGACTCATAACATAAATTGTGAAAAGTGGGTGTTATATTGCACAGTGGCATTAAGTGCCGTAATGTACCCCTTCGTGGATAAAAAGGCGTGATGTTATGTTATGTAGTGTAAAAAAGTTAATCAATTATATCAGTGTAATGACGTTTGATTGCAGTGTGGAGACTGTCCAAAATCGTTTAAGACTCCTCTACAGCTGACCAGACATCGCTGGAGATGTCACAAACGGAACTCGGCTGTTACTACAGATTTACAATAGGGAACAACAGCACAAGCTGACGTCACTATGTGACTAATGCCGGAATACTGAAACATTACTCAATTTTAAGTCGCACTCAAATATCGTGCCATCTCTGTCATTTTACAAAGAATTTGTGGAGACAGAACTATACTTAAGCACGACTTAAAACGTTGAAATTCATCTCCTAAATTTGTTCATACAAAAGTAGTCTCTAAGCATTGGAAATAAGGTCTATAATGTAGTTTGTGGAGAGCGGTCACCGGTGACCGCTTGGGGATCGATAGGTTAAAATTGAGTAGCGTTTGAGTGTTCCGACATAACATCGCTTACCACCAAGCGAGATAGTGGTCAAACGTCGGCCCATCAAATATACAGGGTGGAATTTTGTAATGTCATCTGAAGGGGAAGTGCTACGTTGGTGGATTAATAATTTGTAGACGGATTTATAATACTTGGATTTATTACAATAATGTGCAGGGCGCACGACGTGTACACACACTTAGACTATGACAGGTAGACAGCGGCGTTAATGACGAGTGTCCTACCTTATATATCACATTATAGTGAGGGAGCCACTACTTACTCATTAGTGATGTACATACATGTAACAAACAGCACAAGCTGACGTAACTATAGAACCATCATCGCTTACCACCAGGCGAGATAGTGGTCAAACGTCGGCCCAACAAATATACAGGGTTGAATTTTGTAATGCCATCTGAAGGGAAAGCGCTCTTAATATCTAAGATAGAAAATTTTACTTAAAGAAAACACCCCTTTATTTTTGAAAAGAAACAAAACTGCATTCAAAGATTTATAAAATTTGCTTGCCTCACACGATTTTCGAACCGACTAAAATCTGTCAAAGTTTGCACTCTGTACTTTTATTGCATCGATCGTTCATTGTTTTCCTTTTATTATATATCACGATGTCGGCGATGACAATGTTTCTCCGACATATACAAGGTGTAGTTTTGAAACCGTGTCATTTCTCGGGGGCATGCCACAGAAGTCATAAAGGTTCAATGTAATAAAAAGTTTCGGGCCAATAGTTAAAAACACGGCTATAATAAATCGTTTAAGTTCGACAGTATTTCAGAATAAGCGACAGCAATGTTTTATGGAATAAGGAATAATATCAATTACGTGTTTGGGTTTGTGTGTGTTAAGCCGCGTTATAAAGCTAGTTACAAGACGGCGGCGTGTACTTCGCATTAACGGATTTCAGTAAATAACAGAAAAATGAAAAATATTTACCTACAATTTTTTTATTGATTCGGACTCAGAATCGATAGCCGAGTTACCTCCTAGAAAATAACGCGGCTTTAAACCAACCCCTTGTATAAAAATCACTATTTGACGAGCTTATTTGTCGAGTTACAAGCCATACTAGGGACCAATAATAAAGAGTATGTTGTCTTATAGACAGAAAGGGGGCATCCATAAATTACGTGAGGTTTTTTTTAACATTTTCTCTCCCTCCCTCCCCCCCTGGTGAGATTTCGTGAGATTTTATTCAACACCCTCCCCCATCCCCCGTCTCACGTGAGATTTTTGAAAATTTGATTGTTAATGCAAAACGAAAAAAATTTTGCTTCGTGCTTTTGTTTACGACTAGTAAAGACTATACTCGGAATTTTAATTCGATTCCAGATTTGACAATTTCGGTGTTGCAACGTTATGACAAGATTCTTCTCGTTTATAATAACTATAATTTTACTCTCGTAAACTAAGTATATCAGGAAATTAAATATTTCTGAACCGATAATTTAGTTTTGACGATTAATTAACGATCTGAGACGTTTCTTTTATAATTGTGTGTGAAATAAATAAAAAAAATGTAATCATGAAGGAACATGACAAATAAAACAGATAGATGTATTATGGTAATAATTTATTTTATAAATTGTCGCCGTCATCGCTATCGCTATCCTGTCACTTTCTGTAACATTTATTATAAAACACACACTGATTGTTTATCGATTTTGTGTACATCACTACACTATTATATGTGGTATCATTATTTCACAAAATGACAGTAGCTATTGTCAAATCTGAAATCTAATTAAAATTCTGACTATAGTAATCAATATTGCTGATAGTTATAAGTGTAATACCTGGCGTAGGGGAAACCGTGATCACATAAGTGTAATAAAAATGAAACAATAGAATACTATACGTATAAAACAAATGCGTGTACAATTAAATCTTAAGCATGTACAATCTGGATTAAATGAACTAACATAATATATATTTTTTTGTTTTAATCAGAAAAAAAATTAAGTGATATTTGCCGAGACCCCCCTCTCTCCAATGTAAGATTAGATGAGATTTGGGTCTACATCGTCCCCCCTTAAACATCTCACATAATTTATGGACGCCTCCAAACTCATTATATACTATAACTTCCATCATTTTTATGGAAATAAAATAAAAATTATAAAGAAAATAATGGTTTTTATTTTCATCATCATATCAGTCACAGGACGTCCACTGCTGAACATAGCCCTCCCCCAATGACTTCCAGATAGGCCGGTTGGAAGCGACCAGCATCCAGCAGCTCCCTGCGACCTTAATCAGGGTGCTTACTCTTGAAACCAATCTCAATATCAATGCAATTGCAATTCAATGAAAACTCAATAATTATTCAATGTCAAACTTATACAACCCCTATTGTAGCAGTTAAAATAGCATTCAGAGTACGGAATATAAAGCCAAACTCAATACCATTTATTTCATTAAATACCCACGCAATTAGCCTTTTTCCTGGGAAGATTAAAAAAAAATCCGCTAGGGGCAGCACCGGTGGGGGGGTACATATGTTTTGAATTCTCTATTGACAACAACGTCAAACGTGTAGAATTAAAATGGAATTAACTGAAGATGATGTACCTTTTTTTATTTTATCAATTGTTAAATCTGTCCTTCGTGATAAGTGTATCCACTCCAAACACTTTTTTTTGTTAACTTGTGGTTTTATAAATGGCACAAATTTTACACCATCTTGCTTGTATCGACTATCAGACGTACAATTTGCGAATGCGCAATGTTTTGTAGGCATGACTATTTTTAATTTTTTTTTTTTTATCACAATATTTATTTATTCTGATAATAATAAGACGTTCGTTTGACGTTGTTGTCAATAGAGAATTCAAAACATATGTACCCCCCCACCGGTGCTGCCCCTAGCGGATTTTTTTAAATCTTCCCAGGAAAAAGGCTAATACGGATGCAATGGGCGCTAGTGTTGGAACTCAAGTGTAGGAAACTTCACAATATCAATGTCGATCGATCGAAATTGGATTAGAGAGTAAGCCCACTGGTCGTCTGTCCACCTTGGGGATGGACGTCCTACGCTGCGCTTGCCGGTACGTGGCCTCCACTCGAGAACCTTTCTGCTCCAGCGACCATCGGTATTCCCCACATATCTAGTTCTTAACACATAATTTTGACCGAATATAATTATCGTTTTTAAAAAATTCTCAGTAGTAGCACGGAGTCTGGAACTGTGCCCGGTATATGGCAATAGGCTCACCCCCTATTACATGGGACTCATAACATAAATAGTGAAAAGTGGGTGTTACATTGTACAGTGGTATAATGTGCACCTCTGCCTACCCCTTTGAGGATAAAAGGCGTGATGTTATGTTATGTGTGTTATGTTATAATTAACGTGTAATAGACGGTGAATCATTTTTCAACAGTTTTCTATAAATTTTGTACGAGATTGTGTATTGTGACGTAACGTTTTTTTAGCGTCAAACAGCATAGCCATTTCTTAAAAATTTGCTAGAAAAATACTAAAAATAAGGTTGGTCCGGTGAGTCTAATCAATTGCTGAAAGTGTGATTTTTTTATATTTTATTGTATTGAGAAAGAAAGAGAAAGAAAGAAAAAACCTATGTTTAATTTCATTTCAATGTACATACATACATTCTATATAATTTTTGTTAATGGCATGAGCCGGTAACCGAGCAGACGGATCACCTGATGGTAAGCAATCGACGCCGCCCATGGACACCTGGAACACCAAGGCGTTACAAGTGCGTTACCGGCCTTTTGGAAATTGGGAATTAGAGGTTTGTGGAGACATTGGATGGGCAGGGTAATTGGGCGTCCGCAAGCGTTGCTTCACGTCGGTTTTCTGCTCGGCCATGGTATCACTGCGGTCGAGCCGGCCCATTCGTGGCGAAGCATGGCTCTCCGAGACTATATTCCTGCATGACACCTGTCCACCACAGTAAGGGGGTCAGTAGTAGCCTGCGTCAAACAAAAACATATGGAAATTAAACTTTATCAACAATATCATAAATACGATTGTTTGTCTGAGGCGTTTAAAGTAATTGTAACGAGTACGCGTTCGGCGCTCTGATTGGCTGGCGCCAATGAAGCAACCAATCAGAGACGTTAGAACAAGTTTGTCTTAACGAGTACGGAATCATTTCATTCTATTCGCGTGATAACACTACCAGCATTATGTTATGATCAAATTGGTGTTTTTAGAAACATAGATACTCAATTTTACTAAACACAAATAATTGATTAGTTTTAGGTATACCTTCTTCTTTCTTTTTTAGAAAAACATTGCCCCACACTAGGATTTTCTCCTGTGTCGTGGGTGCGTTTACAAACATACAAGTTCACATACACAAAGACACCCAGACCCGAAACAACAATTTATGGATCACACAAAGTGTTGTCCCGTGCGGGAATCGAACCCGCGACACGTTGCACGGCAGCCGGTTGCCCAGCCACCGCACCAACCGTGCAGTCAAGTCAAATACCTATCAGTTTTACATCTATATCTAAGATGTTAAAATATTTACTCTGCTGCCTGCCTCGTTGGCCGAGTGGTCGCAAGTGTGACTGCCGGGCAAGGGGTCTCGGGTTCGATTCCCGGGTCGGGCAAAGTATTACTGGGTTTTTAAAAATCTCAGTAGTAGCACGGAGTCTGGAAATGTGCCCGGTATATGGCAATAGGCTCACCCCCTATTACATGGGACTCTTAACATAAATAGTGAAAAGTAGGTGTTACATTGTACAGTGGCATTAAGTGCCGTAATGTGCACCTCTGCCTACCCCTTCGGGGATAAAAGGCGTGATGTTATGTTATGTGTTATTTTAAAATATTTACAACTGAAAAATAAATTAATATTATCGTGTGTACATACGTAGAAGAACGAGCAAGAAACACCAGTTACTCAAGCACTCAGCCTTCATAGATGGATAGGTCCTTACCATGTATGTTTCCTGCGGCGGTGGAGCCCCCTCGAAGGCGATCTGCTGTACTATGACGTCACCATCAACTGCGATGTGCGAAACCCTATGAAACGCGATGCGGTGATGAAACTCGCAAAAATGTTCTCGGTTCAACGCCACCTATCGAGGAGGATGGTGAAATTAGAATTGTAAAAAAAGTTATCCAGACGATAGATGGAGCTATTTCAGAAAAATAAAAATGTGCCTACTTTTTACTTTGTTGGACATTGGATACTTTGAACAGCTATTATTACAATTCGACTACCCTGATGAAAATATCGTACCCTAAATTTGTTCATACAAAAATAGTCTCTAAACATCAGAAATAAGGTCTATAATGTAGTTAGTGGAGAGCAGTACTATGAGCCTTATCATCATGACGCTTAAGAGATTTTTTTTATAATCTATATATCAAACTTACCTAATAGGTTAATGTTTATTAGACAGCGCTGCCGCCTGGACTCTGCTTAACCCCTCGAGTGTCCTTATGAGCACCCGGTGGATCATAAGAAAAAATGCTTCATGCTGATTTCTCTTTTATAAAATCTATTATTAATGTTTTGTTTTTATTTTGACTGCATTTTTTATTTCTATTGTAACGATCCTTGTTTTCGTGTACCAATGGCCAAATAAATGCATTTTCTTTCTTTTTTTCTCCAAATGTCACGTGTGCACCCTTTGGATCATAAGGAACGCGGACGCTCGACGGGTTAATGAACTTATTTATCACGACTCACTAGAGGAGGCCTGTTGTTAAAGTATACAGAGTGGATATGAATGGGGCCGTCGGTAGAGGGCGCCCTAGACGGACATATAGTGACCATATTGGCGATATATTAAAAAATTGGTTGCCTGTAAAATCGGTATACGGGCGAAAGTTTTACGTGACAACGACTTTGAGTGGTAAAATATTATGTCTGTCTCTCTCGCTCTTAGGCGGGCTAACCATGCCTGAGTGGAAGGGACGCGTGCCTCTCACTCGCTCTCATTGTGAGCGCATAACGTGAGCGGAGCGTAACGCAGTTTCTTGAAGGGTCACCCGGCAAACCAATTTATAAGACGTTGTCACGTCAAAAGGGCCAAATTAAAAGTACCCTTAACCGACGAGCATGCATGAAAAGATTGATGACTGTTGATGAAGCGAAAGAGGTTTATAGGAATCGTAGTAGGTAATTGGCGTTCCTTAGTCTCTGCCTACCCCCATGGGAGACAGGCGTGAAGTTATGTATGTATATACGTATGGCATACCTTAAAACAATGCAGAAAACAAACGATGAGGATTTCGAATGAGGCTCCACAGTTCAATGGTAAATCTTCAATAGTCTCCTCATCACCCCATTCCGAAGACAAGAAGTGATTGCACACAACACGCGCCGCCCCGAAGAGAGGGTTGAAATGAAAGGCTATATCTTCACGAGGAAATATCTTGGGTCCACATTGCAGGTTTATCGCGAACCTAGAAGCAAAGGTCTTTTGTTTGAATATCCAGCTCCAGGTGTGTTGCTGGTGGTCTTAAATAATAAAAGACTTCGGTATGAAGAGAAGACTGTATTTGAATAGTACTGATTTTAAGGGTCAACCGATATGTGCGCACGGCGTCGTGTCGGGCGAGCGAGTGAGTGAATGACCGCCGATCGCAGCGGTCGCGGGCCACGTATGGTGGTGAGCCCGATGTGACGTCAGGAACATCTTTTTTTATACCACGACGGTGGCAAAAAAGCACACGGCCCACCTGATGGTAAGCGGTTACCGTGGCCCGTGTACGCCTGCAACACTTGGGGCATTACATGCGTCTTGCCGACCCTTAAGAAACCTATTCACTCCTGTCTTGAAGAACCCCATGTTGTAGCCCACTGGGAAAACAACGGCGTTTATTAAACTACGTTTAAATACAAACTATAATCTCCTTTTTTTAAGTAGGTCTGTATTTTTTTATGCCCTAGGCATTTCTCCTGTGTCGTGGGTGCGTTTACAAACATACAAGTTCACATACACATAACGCCCAGACCCGGAACAACGACCTGTGGATCACTCAAAGAGTTGTTTCGTGCGGGAATCGGACCCGCGATACGTTGCGTGGCAGCCAGTTGCCTAACCATCCAACCACCCTGCCTGCATCAACCATGCAGTCAGTTAGTATACTAAAACCTGCTACTGTAATATAATATAATATAAAAAAAACCGGAGGCCCAGATCCCTCCCATGTTCCCCAATCTCCCCAATCCCTGAATCCCCAACAATCCTCAAACTCCTAATCCCCAAAAGGCCGGTAACGCACTTGTGACACCTCTGGTGTTCCAAGTTTCCATGTGCGACGCTGATTGCTTACCATCAGGTGATCCGTCGGCTCGATGCCATAAAAAAAATATCGCTGAAATATTCAAACGCTACTCATTATTAAGCGCGCTTAACTATAGTTATGTCTCTACAAATTCTTTGTAAAATGACAGAGACGGCACGATATTTAAGTACTACTTAAAATTGTGTAGCCTTTCAGTAGTCGGGTGGAAATGTAACAAACAGATAAACGGGGCAACTCGCAAGCTAAATAAAACCGATTTATATTTCGTGATCTACTGCCAGCCAGAATGCCTAAACCGGAGACCCAATTATCCCAATCCCTGAATCCTCATCATCAACAGCCTATAAATGCCCACTGCTGAGCAAAGCCTCTTCTCACACGGAAAAGGTTTGAGCATTAATCACCACGCTTGCTCAATGCGGGTTGGCGATTACAACCTTATAATTAGAAATTAGAAGCCCAGGTTTCCTCACGATGTTTTCCTTCAGTCAGTGGTGACTAAATAATCTGAGAAAGTACATATAACTCGGATAAAGTCACATTGGTACTTGCCGTTGGTAGGTTTCGAACCCGCATTCTCATGCATGAGAAGCCAGCGTCTTAAACCTCCGGGCCACCACGACATTGGAATCCTCAACAATGCTAAAATTCCTAATCCCTAAAAGGCCGGTAACGCACTCTTAACGCCTCTGGTGTTCCAGGTGTCCATGGGTTGCGCCGATTGCTTACCATCAGGTGAAGCGTCTGGTCGTTTATCGGCTTATCCCATAAAAAAATTGACATTACCTCTTCGCTTCCGGAGGGATTGTACCCTTCAATCTGATTGTGCGGCCAGGGTACATACCCCCAGGAAAGGGATGCACAGGCGGCACTTCCTATAAACATAGCAAAAGATTTTATTGCTTAATCCGGAATTTGAATAACAAGAAATTCAATCGAACCAACAAAATTATGCATAGCTAGATAATTGTATTGTGAACCTGATTGAAAAAGAGTAACCTATGGAGTTTCTTGCTCGTTCTTCTCCATAGGAATCTATACTTTAGAATGAGCAAAGCTTCACTTCTACATTTTTGTTGTTGACGTTCAAAAGTGCCTTCCTGATCTAATTAGGTAGTGTCCAGGGTATTAAAATTAAAAATCTAATTAGTCCGTCAGTTAGATAATGAAAAAATATTAGATACGTATTTTTTTTATTTTCTCGTACTAAGTTGCAATACTTAGATAAAATGGCGATAAGTTTAGGAGTGGAAGCTCGTTATGTCATAACAAGCTACAAAAAGTGACACGCTGTGACGTCACACGATATTTCAAATTAATACATCGTCGAAAGTATTTAATTTTGTGAGAAAAGAAAAAATATGTGTCCAAAGTTTTAAATTAATTACGAGACGGACATTAAAATAAAAATTAGGAAACTACCCTATTGAAATAGTAATGATTTTGATTTTTACTTTGACAGTCTACTACTGGAGTATGGGCCGCATAAACATAAGAGGGTCGGTCATTATCATCTACGCTAGGTTGAAGGGTAGATAATGAGTGGAGTTCGCAGTATAAAAGGTTCAGGTTTATCAGAGATCGCTGCTGCTCGATCACCAGTCTCGGTGAACCCATTAATGAACAGGAAAAAATGGTTAAATGTGTATTTCTTATAATGGGACAAGCCCGCCACTAACTCCCAAAACCGCTGAAACACCTGTAAGCCAAGATCTACAGTAGATACAACCATGAAAACACCGGAACACTGAAGTCCGGCGCGTCCCAGGGACATGAATAACTGTCTTGGTTCCCTCAACGAAGTGAATCAGAAGATATCATAAGAGAAGAAGAAAAAACGATAGTTTCCACTTCCCTCGGTGAATTACTGCAGGAGACAGAATGAATTAAGTCTTTAGGCTGTAGGAGACTGTACAACTGGGTGAAGCCCAGTCGCCAAGCACCACGGAAATTTGACTAACATCTAAGTGGGTCCTATGTGTGAGCTGTTATACTTGCTTCCAATAATAGTGTATATTTATTTATACTGTGGAATACACTGCCTCATTGGCCGAGTGGTCGCAAGTGCGACTGCCGGGCAAGGGGTTGTGGCGATACATGGTACATGTCAACGGATGACGTCACAAAAATCCTACATCGCGCATGCAAAGTTTACATGCTAATTAACACGTATAGAAAATCCCAAGGAACAACTGTTGGGAAAAACCCGCCAGGCACGATCACCTCGCCTGGGCGGAGGATCCTCCTTTCCGATCTTAGGGAACTATACTCTCTGTTCCCTAAAGGGTGTTCGGTTCGATTCCCGAGTCGGGTAAAGTAATACCGGGGTTTTTAAAACATTCTCAGTAGTAACACGGAGCCTGGAATTGTGCCCAGTGTATGGCAATAGGCTCACTCCTTATTACATGGGACTCATAACATAAATAGTGAAACGTGGGTGTTATATTGTACAGTGGCATTTAAGTGACGCAATGTGCACCTCTGTCTACCCCTTCAGGGATAAAAGGTGTTATATTGTGTTGTTTTACACAACGTTCCTACCCTGAATTTATTAGGTGTTCCCAAATTGGTACAACGACCAAGAATGGGTTCTATTCCAGTAGATTTATCACTAGTTCACCCTGTATTTTCAATGTGAAATCACTACGTCACTTCAGGAGGAGTGCTACGAATCACTTTAATTGGGATGATGACAGGGTATGAAAATTAAAAATCTAATTAGTCCGTCAGTTAGGTAATGAAAAAATATTAGACACGTATTTTTTTATTTTGTCGTATAATAAAACAATGCTTAAATAAAACGAATCAAAGCTTAGGAGTGGGGGCTAAAACGTCATTTCTACGTATAAAATTTACATAGAAGTGACGTCACGCGACATTTCAAATCAATATATCGTCGAAAGTATTCGTTTCTGTAAGAAAATAACAAATACGTGTCTAATGATTTAAAATAATCTACCAGACGAACATTAAAATAAAAATTAGTCATCTACCCTATTATACATACCCTTAAGAATGGGGCACATGCAGGGTATTTCCTGGAAAGATATTAAAACAATTATGTAGATAGACAAGTCCACTATAACAGTGAAAACATTATTTATTTATTTAAAAATATATCCGGATCACTGAAGTCCGGCGCGTCCCAAAGACATGAACAACTGTCTTGGTTCTCGGAACGTAATAAATCAGAAGATATTATAAGAGGAGAAAAAATAATATCTAATATATACCTAGGTCCTAAGTATTAGTAGGTATTAAGAGTGGGAGAGCCATGCTACGGCGCGAACGGGCCGGCTCGACCGGAGTGATACCACGGCCTCACAGAAAACCGACGTGAAGCAACGCATGCGTTGTGTTTCGTCGTGTGAGTGAGGTTACCGGAGGCCTCCCCTTCCCCAATTACCCTTCCCTTCCCCAATCCCTGAATCCCCAACGATCCTCAAACTCCTAATCCCCAAAAGGTCGGTAACACACTTGTAACTCCTTTGGTGTTCCAGGTGTCCATGGGCGACGCCGATTGCTTACCATCAGGTGATCCGTCAGATCGTTTACCAGCTTATGCCATAAAAAAAATAGGCGGTGAATTTTTACACGTTTAAGTTTCGGTTTCAGACGCCTAAATAATTATACCTAAACTCAGTTTTAAACTATGTAGTAGTTCATAAAATATAGAAGAATATCTCACCAGTGCATCTTGGGGTCCAAATTAGTCTGTAACAAAACAACATCATTAATTTTGATGTGAACAAAAATGTAAAAAAAAAAAATTTCAAACAATAAAATGAGGCAATCTGATGGTAAATGTTGTAGTGCCCATGGCCATGATGCGGAGCGACTGGGATGCCGTCTCCTCCTTTTGCGAAACAGTCATGCTATCTAAGGAGGAGGCGAGACGCGTGAGGTAGCGAAGCGCTGCCTCCTCTCAACCCAGCCATCGCGAAGGACACTCTTGGCGTCGGGAATCCCGAGACGATCTCCAGGCACCGTAAGCGCGGGCCTGCGTCCGACTAGAACAAGACGCGAGCGTACGGCGCGTCGCGTTCCGCGCGCCTCAAAGAACCATCGCACCACCACGGATGGGGCCCAATAGGCCTAATGCCGATTCGGTGTCGCGAAAAACCTAACGGGTTACCGGGGCTCCGGCTCGACGTGCAGGAGAAAGAACGGGGTGGTTTTTAGTCAGTAAGGGTCTGACACTTCCTCCCGCCTCACCCAGGCGGGAGCAGACAGACATACGATGATTTCCCACCTTAAATAAAATCCTAGCTGTTCCCCGCGATTTCGTCCGCGTATAATAATGGCTTCTGCAAAATTTTGGATTTTTAAATTAGCTGTGTAACAAATCTCATCAGAATCAATTTAGTTTTATTTATTGTGAAATATTGTATATTTTCGTGATTCCCAAAAATAAACAATCCCACAGGGATTTTACACGTATCGTATCCATTCCCGTGAGGTTTCAGTGATTAAAACTCTATTTAAATTCCAATCAAATAGGTAAAGCGGTTGAAAACTATCAGGCGTCATTTTCCGAGTCTCAAACTATCGTTGTACCGAATCGCACTCAAATAGGTTCAGTGGTTTAAGCAATAGAATGCCCCGGAATTTTAACGCATAGTTCCTCTCCCGTGAGATTTCCTTTCCAGTGCCAGTATTGTACGGTTTACGTACACTAATTATGTTAATTAAACTTATTCTATTATGATGACTATACATATCGGACGATATTCCGTCGCGGCATTCAATTGTAGACCAGTGTGCACTTCAACTCGCTACCGAACGTACCACTGTGAGAATCACCTAACAATCTTACTTGTAACCTTTAAAAATAAACTTTTCGGGACTTCTAGAAGTGTTTACACTCACAACTTCAAACTTAACTATCTACGAGTACTTTACTCCATAACAATTAACTATAAAAAGTAGTGTACAGTTCACTACACTGTACATTAAATGGTCCTTCGAGCCGGATGCGAAGTGATTTTGTGTCTTATAAAGTGTGATAGCGAATCGGTTTGGCTGGCCTCCCACAAGCGGGTCTCACCAGTCCAGATTGAGAATCGAGTGTCATCACGAAGGCACAGAGTTACTGAGCATCAGCGATCTTCAAATTTCGTCGGAACTAGCGGACAAGACGAATTACTAAGAAACATTGAGAGGAGACTAGTGGAACTACGGAACTATATTGAAGAAGACCTGGTTCTTCGTGTCCAGGACATAACTGATCTTGGATACTACTATTCAACTTAGGTACTTACCTATTACATCTACTTAAAACTACTTACAACCTACAAAACTTACCTCTTTACTATGGAGCTGCAACTAACTAAACAAGTCGGCACCTTTGAGGATCTGAAAACGCTCTGCACCAACTATAGAAAGGACAGCATTGCTAGAAAAACTGTAGATTACTTGGAAAAACGTTTGGCGAACTTAGAAAAGCTATGGTCGAGCTTTCATGAACAGCATCAACTACTAGTGGAAAACATTGAAAACAAAAACATCGCATATTTTAACAACGGCACTTACGAGAAAACTAAGAACTTGTACGAATCAACAAAGAAAAACATGCTTGATATGATGGCTTCGCAACAAACACGACAACAACAACAACAACCAAATTTAGATTTTGACTTATCTGGACTCATTGACGAGAATACTGAAGACGAGGTACAAAAGCTGATTGCCCAACAAAAACGCAATTTTAAAGCTTTGGACAAAGCTATGGGAAAAATAGATCTTAATACGATTACTGAGAAGTGGGAATTTGAGGAACATCTGGTGGCCTTGAAATCTAAATGGGAATTAATTGACAAAATACACTGGGAACTGGAAGACGAACTAAAAGCCTCTAGTTCCTGTACCAACTACAATGAAAAATATGAAGCGATCGAGGAAAAATATGACAATCTCAGACGAGAAATAAACAGCAAAATTTGGTCCACTCAACATTATCAGCGTTCCGCACCAAAAATCGACGTGCCAGAGTTTTCTGGAAACTATATTCACTGGATAACTTTCAAAGATATCTTTATTGAAACGATTCATAACAACCCAAGCATTTCTAAGGCTCAAAAAATGCAATATTTAAAGACTAAATTAAAAGGTGAAGCAGAACGCCTCGTCCACCACCTCTCCATTAGTGCAGATAACTATGATTCTTGTTGGGAGATACTATCACACCGATATAACAACCGTCGACTTCAGTTCACATCATTTATGAGCACTATGCAACACCTACCAACTATTCAACAACCCAACGCTCATAACTTAAAACGCATGCACGATGTAATAACAGAGTGTTTGAATGGCCTTGGTAATATGGGAGTTGAAGTATCGAGTTGGGGACCAATGATTGTTTACAATATGTCGCAAAAATTGGATTCCGCCACTCTCAACGAGTATACAAAGGAAACACAGAATAACAGAGAATTGCCGGACTTAGAGGAATTCCTCCACTTCCTTGAACTTAAATTTCTCGCTTACGAAACAGCGAAAAGCTGCTCGAGAGACGCTTCTGAAAACAAGATTCCAAAACCAAACAACAAGGGCTGGACAAACAACTACAGAACTAATAATTTTGTTAACAAACATCAAGACAAAAAGTTGGGCTATTCAAAAATTTTCCATGCATCGTATGGACAATGTCCGCTTTGCCACAAAGATCACGTGTTGATGCAATGTGACAAATTTACTGACATGGATATTGCCCAACGCAACCAAACTGTTTCAAAACTCAAAGTCTGCAAAAACTGTCTATACAGCCACGGC